CTGGAAGAGCCCAAGTCTGACTTCCTGAGTTCTCTGCATCCCAAGGAAAGCCAAAGGCAACAGGGAAAGGATTTGTTCTGGAAGCTGTGGGCCCCCCAGGGGGTGTTTTCCCCACAGTTGTTTTGGGTTTTTGGGATCACACCTAAAACTCCTTTGGGAATTGCTGAGTTGAGCAATGGGCAGAAGCAGAAAGGTGCAGGTTTGATCTGCCAAGAGCCACCTCTGCTTCCTTAGGGTCACCCCCTCGAGATCATTCCCTTTTCCCAAATTATGAAGAGGTGAGGGACATGAAACTCCAAGAATTCCGAGTCCCAGACCCTTTTCCAACCCCAGACCCTGCCAGGAAGTTGAAGAACCCCCCAGTACCCCCTTTTCCATCCTTTCCTCAGCTCCATCTGAGGAGTTCATGGAGGCCACATCCCCAAGACCCAGGATTCATCCATCCAGGAATCCCCTTCTCCCTCCCAGCCATTATAGGGARTCTTTTCCCTGGAAAATCCTTGATCCATCCTGGATCAAAACCAGCCCAGCACCAACTCCTTTCCTTTCCCAGCCTTGTTCTGTCACTGTTTTTTACCTCAGAGGCCTCCCAAGTCCTATTTTTACAGAAAATTCCCTTTTGAAGGGGGTTACATCTGAAAGAACTCAGCCTTCTAAAGGATTCAGTGCCTCCAATTCCAACAAAAAGCAGCTGTGCCATCCCTCCCAGGGAGTTTTGGAGTTAGCAGCCTGAGCAGCACTTGAGGTTTCACATTAATTAAGCCTGGGGTTAATTGCCAGGTGGAAATAAAGCAGCAGCAGGGACTCCTCTTACCTGGAAGTTGGTCAGCTCTGAGTTCTTCTGCTTCAGGATCTCGGTCATGTAATCGATCAGGTGCAGCCCAAAGGCRTTTTTGGTGGTGATTTTCTGCAATAAAGCACAGCTGAGGACCCTTTCCCTGGCCAGGGTCACCCTGAGCCCCGGGGGATGCCAGCAGGACTGAGGGGACACTGAACATGTCACTGGGGGAGGGCAGCACCAGCCCRGAGCTGGCCACGGCTTCCTCTGRGAAGAGGTTGGAGAGCTGGGYACAGAACTGTCTGAAATTCARCAGGGCACAGGCAGAGCCTGCACTGGGGAGGGACAACCCTGGACACTGGGGGTGACCTCTGTGGAGCAGGACCTGGGGGACAACAAAGTGTCCCTGCCCAGCAGAGTGTCCTGGGGGCAATGGGATCCTGGCATGCATCAGGAAGAGCATTCCCACAGGTCAGGGAGTGATCCAGCCCCTCTGCCCAGCCCTGAGAGGCACCTCTGGGGTGCTGTGTCCAGCTCTGGGATCACTGGGACAGCAGGGACAGGGAGGGTGACAAAGATGAGGAAGGGCCTGGAGCATCTCAGGAAAGGCTGAGGGTGCTGGGTCTGTTCAGCCTCGGGAAGGGACAGATGAGAAGAGACCTCCATCCCTGTGTCTAAATATCCAAGGGGGAATGGCTGAGGCTGGATCCAGGCTCTGCCCCATGGGCCCAGCCAAGGGACGAGAGGAACGAGCAGGAACTGATGCCCGGGGAGTTCCACAGGAACAKAAAGAACATCTTTCCTGTGATTGCCCAAACAGGCAGCGGAGTCTCTCCCTCACTGGGGATATTCCAGAGCCGTGTGGACACAAYCCATGCGCTGTGGGATGGCCWTGCTGGAGCAGGGATTTGGTCCCTTAACCTGTCCCAGCCCGTGATGCGGGAAATAACCCTATGGCCAAAGCCCACAGTGTTCCAAACCCCGCCCGGACCGCGCCGCCGGCAGACATGAAGCCCCGAGGCACCCCCGACTCACGTTCTCGGTGGAGAGCTTGATGCAGGTGCTGTAGTGCTCCGAGATCTGCGCGTGGCTCCATTGGGGCAGCGGGGGCTGCCAGCTCTCGAACCTGCGGGACACAGCGGTGGCGGTGACCGCGCTCCCCCCTCAGCCCGGGCCCCGCGCACCGACCCTACCTGGCCACGGGGGAGCCGAGGCCCTGCAGCGACGAGTCCACAGCCCTGGAGCGGCGGCGCTGGCGCCTTTCGCGCTCATCGTCGTTGCCGGAGCACTCTGCGAGCACGGGGGTGCCGGGGTTGCCGAGGGCCCGCGGTGCCGGGGAGGCGACCAGAGCAGCGGCGACGCGGGGACTGCGGCCGCTCATGGCTGCGGCACCCGCCGCGCTGARGGGAGCCCTGCCCTCGCTGCGGCCACGCCCACCCCGCGCCTTTTGACCAATCACCGCGCGCTGCTCCCGCCCGACAGCCAATCAGCGCGCGGCACGCCCGCCCCCAAGGCGGGTTTGAATGGCGGCGCGCGCTCAGGGGGCTCGCGCGTGCGCGCGGAGTAACGGTCGTGGGGGGGGGAGGGGCTGCGCTGTGAGGGACCCCCGGGATGAGGGGACACCAGGGATGAGGGGACACCGCCATTCCCCGCCATTTCCCGGCCCTGGGTTGGGATCGGAGCGCTGTCAGCTGCCCCCGGTGCTGCCCCGGCACCCCCCGCACCGGAGGAGGAGGAGCCACCCGAGCAGAGCCGCTTATCCCGGGATCCCGGAACCGCTGAGGTGGGAATCTTTGGGATCGCCGCACCCGAGATGTGCGCGATCCCCATCTCGTCCCCAGCTCAGAGCACCCAGTGCCCTGTCCGGGCCTTCACTGGACACCTCCAGGGGTGGGGACTCCAAACCTCCCTGGGCAGTTCCAATGCTGGAGCCCCGCTTTCTTTCCTTGCGGAAATTCTTGCTGATGTCCCCCCTGCCCAGCCTGAGGCCATTCCCTCTCCTCCTGTCCCTGTTCCCTGGAGCAGAGCCCGACCCCCCCGGCTGTCCCCTCCTGTCAGGGAGTTGTGCGGAGCCACAAGGTCCCCCCTGTTCCCCTTTGCTCCAGGCTGAGCCCCTTTCCCAGCTCCCTCAGCCGCTCCAGCCCCTTCCCAGCTCCGTTCCCATCTCTGGACACGCTCCAGCCCTCAGAGGGTTCCACCATCCCTGGCACTTCCATTCCATCCCTCCTTCCTCGCCAGGAGCGTCCGTTGGCTTCTCCTTGTCCTCCAGTATTACCCTCTATGTGGAAATTTCCCCAGGACACTGCCTGCTCCCTCAAGTTGCTCTGTGGCCCCTCAGGTGCCTTCTGGCCTGACCCTGTGCCCGTTCTGGTGTTCCCTGTGCCCCTCCAGCTGTGTCCCCATATTCCCTGTATCCCTCCAGCTGTGTCCCCATATTCCCCATGCCCCTCCTGGTGTTCCCCATATTCCCCCTGACCCTCCAGATGTGTTCCCACATTCCCTGTGCCCCTCCAGTTGTGTCCCCATATTCCCTGTGACCCTCCAGATGTGTTCCCACATTCCCTGTGCCCTTCCAGCTGTGTCCTCATATTCCTCATGGCTCTCCAGGTGTGCCCACATATTCCCTATAACACTCCAACTGTGTCCCCATATTCCCATAACCTTTCAGGAGTGTCCCCATATTCCCTGTGACACTCCAGCTGTGTCCCCATATTCCCTGTGACACTCCAGGTGTGTGCCCATATTCCCTGCGTCCCTCCAGGTGTATTCCCATATTCCCGTAACTCTCCAGGTGTCTTCTGGGGTTGTATGTGCAGGGCCGGGTCAATCCCTCCTCATTTGGGGCAGTTTTGAGACAATCAGGGTCAGTTTTGGGTGTTACAAACACATAGTTTTGGCTTTTGCAAATGTTAAGATGAGTGCTATGTATGTGTTAAACACATATTGTAGTGTTCTCGCAGAGATTAAAGGTAGATACTACGTTGTAATATTGTCTTATTTGTAGAAAAAGTTTAGTTATGCAGACATAGTTGAGAAAATTATCACCATTTTTCTTTTGTAACTCAGATACAGTTATAGAATATTTGTGGTTAAACTGAAATATTATGATTTGTGACTTAAACATTTCCATAAAGGATATTTTTTATATTGTAGCAAAACTATACAAAAGCTGCAAAGAAAGTCACCAAAAAAACCCTGAATGGCAATGGTCCTTAAAGATAAGAAGCAGCTCAGAGCTGGGGAAAAGAATGCATATTTTCACAAAGATCCTTAGCACCTTCGGGGTGGGGAGGCCATCGCTCCAGGACTATCAACTGCCAGGCCAGCACAGACCCTGACAGTGAAAGGGTGGGGGTGGAAGGAACAGAGGCTTTGGGGAAAAATATCTAATCAGAAGAACTTGTAAAAACATCCATCGTTTGTGGCACAGAGCACCAACCTTCGGATGGATTTATCTACACGGAAAGCTCAGGGGTGTTGGGACCCCTGTTATAAATATTCTCTATCGACAAGAACCATCTGCTGAAGTTGTAGAATAGGGGTCACACAAACATGACCCCAGGAGCATAAAACAAGAAGACAGGTTTAAATATGCATAAATGTCTATGAATAGAGATTAGGCTGATGTAACACAGAATGTATTTAAAGAGGTTTCTATCCATACCCGGTGTGCCTCTGGCAGATGGCCAAGCACCCGACATCGTCTCATTTTGCTTTTATGTACCCTATTGTCACTTATTTAAACCTTTTAAATTTTACCAAGAGAGTGAACCTCGTTTTTCACATGAGGCAATCCCTCCTCATTTGGGGCAGTTTTGTGTCAGTCCCTCCTCATTTGGACCCATTTTGGGTCAATCCCTCCTCATTTGGGGCAGTTTTGTGTCGATCCCTCCTCATCTGGGGCAGTTTTGTGTCAATCCCTCCTCATTTGGACCCTTTTTGGGTCAATCCCTCCTCATCTGGGGCAGTTTTGTGTCCATCCCTCCTCATTTGGGGCAGTTTGGTGTCAATCCGTCCTCATTTGGGGCAGTTTTGTGTCAATCCGTCCTCATTTGGGGCAGTTTTGTGTTGATCCCTCTTCATTTGGGGCAGTTTTGTGTCGATCCCTCCTCATTTGGGGCAGTTTTGTGTAGATCCCTCTTCATTTGGGGCAGTTTTGTGTCGATCCCTGCTCAATTGGACCCATTTTGGGTCAATCCCTCCTCATTTGGGGCAGTTTTGTGTCAATCCTTCCTCATTTGGGGCAGTTTTGTGTCAATCCCTCCTCATTTGGGGCAGTTTTGTGTCAATCCCTCCTCATTT